TGTGTGTGTGTGCTGGATGATGTGTGTGTGTGTGCTGGGTGATGTGTGTGTGTGCTGGATGAAGTGTGTGAGAGTGCTGGATGATGTGTGTGTGAGTGCTGGATGAAGAGTGTGTGAGTGCTGGATGAAGAGTGTGTGTGTGCTGGATGATGTGTGTGTGTGTGTGCTGGATGTGTGTGTGCTGGATGATGTGTGTGTGAGTGTGTGCTGGATGATGTGTGTGTGTGTGTGTGCTGGATGATGGGTGTGTGTGTGTGTGCTGGATGATGGGTGTGTGAGTGCTGGATGATGGGTGTGTGAGTGAGTGCTGGATGATGGGTGTGTGAGTGCTGGATGATGGGGAGGGGAAGCATTTTTTTCTTACTTTATGTGTTTTTTTGTTTTATTCCCCCCTCCCTGCTTTTTACCTTGTCAGGGAGGGGGGAGATCGCCTGGTGGTCGGGTGGAGGGAGGCAGCCGCTGCACACAGGAGCCATCACACACTGTGTTCCCTCTCCAGCTCTAACTCTCGCGAGACTCGCCTGTGCGGAGCGTTGCCATGGTAACAGCCGCGGGTCTCGCGAGAGTTATAGCTGGAGAGGGAACACAGCGTGTGCTGGCCCCTCTGTGCAGGTAGCAGGGCCGGTCCTGCAGGACAGGGAACGGGAACGGCGTTCCTGCTTTGGAAAAAGTGCAGGAACGCCGTCCCCATGCGTTCCTGCAGGACTCGAGCCCTGAATATTAGTAGTATGTGTCCTGATTGTCTGAATAATACTAATATAGGAATCAAAAGATACAAAGTTTAATAATGGGTTTTTATGCCATGTGTACCCTAATAATCAATTGAAGAGAATTCCAAACCTGTATTGGCATTTATTTTACTTGCCGAATACAGGTGTAGAGCTTGAGTGTGAGCAGACCAAGAGAATAGGGTAACTAATCCAATTTAGTTTCCTGTCTGCTAAGTTTTTATGTTAACTTTTTCTATGGCATAAAACTCCAAACTTTGTGGGTCTGATCCATATTTTTGTAAAAAAGGGCTTTGATACACTGTGATTAATAAAACCTATCCTAATATTCCTAATGT